TGCACGAGGAGAGCAGACGCAGCCCATTTTTGAAATAACCAGCTCCTGAGATGCCGATGTTCTTTGTCTGCATAGAAACCGCTTATGAATTGATTAATAACACTTTGAAATCTTTACTCAGTGATTTGCCCCGACTGTATTTTTCAAATGGTTGTGTAATATTTGAGTCTGCTGGCAAGTTGAGGGGAGCCATCAGCATTTCGGGAAAGCTACATTCAACTACCCAAGAGAGCAAGAGAATCTTTCCTGAGCTCACGCATTCCGATTCAAACCGGTCAAAAGAAACTCCACCCTCAGAGTTGCCCCAGCAAGGTACAAAGTTACAAGCACAAGAAAAGGAGAGCACCCTCAGCGGTTGATCATACCTTTAGGTCATGATATACTTACCTAACTACTGAGCCATAACAAGGGATGCATTAAAACAATCAAACCAAGTGTTTCTTAAGCCGCCGTGTCTCTGACTTATGGCTCTTCATTGCATCTGGTCAATGTGTAGGTTCTGAGCTTTGGGAAAAGTGCTCTGTGCACTTTGCCTTTCCATACAGCGATGGGGGGCATTCCTAGAAAAGAATGCAAGATGGGGAATCTGGTGCTGCCTGTACTGTTTTTTGCTGGATCTTGTCTCTGCTGATGCTCTGGGAACTTCTCAAGTGGACATTGGCACTTCAAACTCAGACACCTCCTGTGCTTCCAACAGGGCTGGCTCCAGCATTTCTGCCGCCCCAAGCAAAAAAAAAAAGCCGCGATCAGCGGTGGCAGTTCAGCGGCAGGTCCTTTGCTCCTAGAGGGAGTGAGGGACCTGCTGCCCCCAAATTGCCGCAGGTGCCGCCCCTCTCCCTTGACCGCCCCAAGCACCTGCTTGTTAAGCTGGTGCCTGGAGCCGGCCCTGGCTTCCAAATGACTAGCGAGCATGTGATCCATAGGAGTCTTCATACATCCCACCTTTACTTCTAGTGAGACTATGGCTGGACCAGGCGTGCTGTATTGTTCTTGCTGGATCTCTGCGGATGCTCTTTGAATAGGCCAGTTTTTCTCCACCACTGTTAGGTGCTACGGAGCAGATCTGATGAGCTCTAGAACTTTTCATTCACAAAGGGCCCTGTCTTCCCTGTGTGAGACTGGCTTGCGCAAGGGACTGGACACCCACTACTAATTTTTCCTTCTGCAGAAGTGAGCGGCAGGGTTTGCTCCCCTGCGTAAGCGGCAGCGGCTTCAGCCCTCCAAAATCAACAGATCTGAGAGGGATCTGCCAAAGGTGTAAACTACTCTGCACAGAGATGGTATGTCACTGCACTGCCTCCCAGCTGCTCCTCCAATGCTATCACGATGCCGGCGGCTCTCCAAACTGCTGCCTGCATTTGGACCCCATATTGTGGGGGAAGTAAGCCCAGAACACCAACACATGCTGGGCTGCCCCATGGACCTGGGGGAAGAGAGAATCAAGCCAAGCACGAGCCTCACGGGTGTTGGAGCAAAGCTGTACCGATAGACGATGCATAGGCATAAGTGAAGGAAGTAATCACAATGAACCTGCAGGCCTGTATCCTGTAAGACATTGGCTTAAGCAGTTAGCGTAAGGCTTTGAGGCCTGTGAATTTTGGCACAGTTAAATGGCCCGCTGGTTTTGGGGAACTGGGAAACGTGTGTTGAAGGGGGAAGTGTAGATCAGGTACCACGAGAATACTGAACCGATACCAGGTTTTGGCTATTTTAGGACAGGAACATCCACAGCTTTCTGACCACAAGAGTGCCATGGCAACGAATTGACATATATGGTAAACTGAGCTCATTAATATACTACCCTATGGGATAAGCGCACCCGAACATTGGTAGGGTGAGGCAATACAAATAAGGAAAGGGGATGAAACCCCTACTAAATAGACGTTAGACCTAATGGTGTCATCAGCATAACACATCATAAAAGCTGTACCCCAGCCTGTGTGTTTGGGGGAAAGACAGAGATGGAGGTACTTGACAGCCACGGGCGATGGTGATGGCTAACGTTCCAGGTTGTTCTGCCAGGGATGGTGAGAGTATATGGCTGCTCAAAGGTACACGCTGCATTAGCTCTGTCTACCTTGCAGGGTTAGAGTGTTGGTGCAGGGTTTTCCTATGTGCGAGTGTTGCATCCGTGCATCTTGGGGTTCCCACCTGAACAGTAATTTTAATAATACTGGGCCTGATCTTGGGCCAAGACCTATCAAACCTCAAAGTGTTAACTAGGAATTCTTAAGTAATTAATATAAAGAATACATAATCTATGGATCAGGCAACATGTTCCCCAACCGAACCACATCACTTGGGGTCAGCTGCCCATCCCTCACATAAGCACGGGGAAATAGAGTTTGGTGCAAACTCTCGGAGCTCCACAGGGTTATAAGTGAGGTCTTGTATCCAAAACTAACTACTGTGGAGACCAGTAAACAGTGGAGCTGGGCAAAATCTTTCAAACAAAACTTTTTTTTGAGGCGGGGGGAGGAGGGGCACACAAAAATGCAGATTTGGAGACACCAAAATGTTTCACAACTTTGTGTCAGTTTCACTCTGTCAGTTTAACCCTCTTCCCTCCCCCATCCCCAAAAATCCCCCCCCAAAAA